CACTTCGCGTTCGAGAGAAGGACACAATGGGGGAGCGAGTCGCCGCAAAAATAGAGACGGGGGCCATGGCTGCGGAAGATACAAGTAGAACCTCGATTCAATCATCCGAAAATCGGTTGCTCGAGTATCGTTAATTCACGTCCATTAGCCACGGTAACACCAGTTCGTTCGGGTACATCGGACACGCGGTTCGTTTCATTAATTTGCTAGATCGGAGAAGCGACGCTGAATTTCTCATCGAAATTATAACGAACGTTAAACACGAATCGGTTCTCGTTCGCGAGATTTCCAGGAATTTTCAGTGAATCGTAATTCCGTTCTCGGAATTAGAATGCATCAATGCTTTGTACCGAATTTATTTACATCGACGAACAAAACACCGTCGACTGCACGTTGCACACGGTACCGAGGCATCAATATTTCAGGCAGAAGGAATAAACAAAAAATCATTTTTCATACAGAACACGTTACAACGCAGCGCTGGAATATTCGAAGAATTCGATTATCCCACCGCCGCGAGCCCAATTAATCCCTGTAATCGAGGTTCTACCGTAGTTAGGAATATTCCCGGAAACCGGAGCCACCCCGCATCGTTTTCCGTTTTCTGTTCGGCCGATGCGCGCGATTGCAGCGGCGGCCGAGCAGGGGCCAGGTCGCGACCGCGGACGATCGCATCGGTTTCGTTCCGCTCCGGAGCGGACGCGATCGCGCGCCGAGGCCGCCCCGACGGAAAATGCTTTTACAGCGTATCTCCCGCGCGTTGCTTCGATCCCTTTTGTTGCGATGAAATATGGCGGCCGCGGCCCCGGCGTAAGCCGCGGTAATTGAATGGAATCTACACGCGGCCGATCTACAAATAGAATTTCGCGATTAGATTAATTACGCGGCCGCTGTAACGTTTTCTCTATAATAACGTTTCTCGTTCGAGAGTTCATATTCGCTTAACCCCTTCTACCCTCCACCCTCCCTCCCTCCCTCCCCTCGCCCCAACCAGCCGGGCGCGCTTGTTTTTCTCGTTCCCGTCGAATCGGTTTCTATGAACGCGCGACGCGATTGTTCGCGAACCGGGGCGAGCTCGTGAAACGCGCCGACAAACCGTTCTGGTCGTCTGCGATTGTAAATATGTTGCACGATTGTTTGAGCACGAATAGTCGCGGCGGTGCGCCGAATTAAATTAAAGCGTCCTTTGAACGTGAAGGGGTTGAAATCCTCGACAACGTTGGCTTATCTCTTCAACCGGCGAAGTGGTGGTTCCGAGAGAACTTTTTATCCGTTTGTGAACTGGCTTGTTTTGGAAGCATTGAAAAAAGGGACATACTGGAAACTACATCGATCTTTTCTCGAACTCTTTCATTGCGACTTTCGATTTTAGTGCCGAGTAACGAACCGCATTCTTCTCGAGTTCGATTCTCAACATAATTCCATCGTTCAACCCCTGCGTTTCTTCTCCCCTCTCGCCAGCGGATTATCAATTCCCAAGGAGCGAAGAAAAATTCCCCATTCGCGTCCGCGTGTACTTCGAAGCGCGATGGATAACAAAGCGACGACACGAACTCGACGGAATCTTCCAACTTCCGTTTCACGCGACGCTCGCGAAGCTACCGCACGACAAGCGGCGAGAGGAAGAAAGGTACGCGGGAACCACCGTCGCCGGTTAAAGGACGAGCACGGTGAACTTACCGAACTTATTCGGAATAACATCAGGGTCGGTTTCCACTGTCTGCGGCGGGTTCTGCATCGGGTACTGTTGCGGCGGCAGCTCGCTGAGTTCCGCCGGTTTTTCGTGCCTCGGTTTCGACACCCTGTCGCGGCGGACGCGCACGACGACCACAAGGATGATCAGCACCAGGGTGACCATCGCGCCGACCACCACGCCGATCAGCGGCGACAGCACCAGCCCCGCGTCTTGCCCTTAAACAAACCGAGAAACTTAGTTCAACGGCGAGAAGATGCTCGCGACGCCGGAACGACCTTCCCGTAATTAACGAATTCCGCTCGGGCGCGCAGTTTCAGCCGGCGCTCGACGGAATTTACGAGTAACTGGGGATTGACAAATGAACAACGGCAATTTATTTAAAATTATCACCGGCGATAATTAAACGGTGCACGAGACGCGGCCGTATTAATCGCGCGATCGGCTCGCGCGGATAAATCGTAATATGCCTGTGCATTATTAAACAGGTGACTGTGGGACGGTCCAAATGGCGCGATAATAATCATTATGAACAGGCCGACAAGCTTTTCCAGGGACGGTCCGCACCGCGCCGCACCGCGCCGCGCCGCGCCGGCTGGCTCGCTCGCGTGCCGCTGCGTAACGAGCCGCGAGCGGTAAATCCCCGGCGAGCAATTAGCCAGATTTTCTTGCTGTCCGCGATTTCTTGTCCCGCGCTTTCGCGGCTTCTTGCCTCGACGCGGAACCGCTCGCTCGACTGGAAACGCCGGAACGTTTAGGCGGTTTGCGAATTGACACGTCGATCGTTGAGCGAAGCCTGCGCATTCTGCGTGTCGCTGATTCGTTTATAGCGGAGATTAATGGAACGAACGATTTACATCGTTCGTAGATCTATTAGGCATACATTTCGTTAAATCTTTCTATTGCGAATTACGAGATTATTAATTTCTCGGTACTATTTCCATTCGAAGGTCGTACCACTCGAAGAACCAGACGATCGAAACTGCCTCGTATCGAATCTTTTTCATAATTGTAACAAGATTGTAATATAGAAAATTCTAAGAAGGTATTTCCATGAGGAAACGCTACAGCGAAATTCGCTGTCGGATCGTTCCACCGTTGAATATTGATGTATCCACCGAATTCGTACATAAAAACTCGGCCTGCTTTTGTTTCCGACTCGACGCCGCCCTCATCGCGACGCAGGAAGGCGGTCGCAAACGATCCAGTTTTTCCTTTCCCCTCGCATACGAATCGCAAATCCGTCGAAACGGTTGTCCTTTGACCCGACAAGGGCTCGTTATCATCGCGACGAGGGAGTCGGTATAAACGGCGCGCGGAAAATGCCGGAAAACACTCGGCGCCCGGCTATAATCGGGTTTCGGGAATGTTCTCGAGTTCCCCCTTCAGCTTCCGACTAATTTGAAGTAACGCGAGAAAGCGGGCGGGCGTACACGCGTCCCTATTCTTGTTTCGCGTCGAGTCGAGTGTTCCTCCACCCTTCGCGTACGCGACAACCGGCCTCCCCCGTTTCCTCCCTCTTTCGGGCTCTTGCCTCGTTCGTTCCCATCCCTTCCCGGCACGGGTGCGTATTAAATACCGCGTGTACACATCACGCGGTCCGGCCTTTTTCCCCGCTTTGTCGCATTCAGACCGAACCAGACCGGAATCCGTCGCAAAGCCGGCGCGCGAAGGAACGCAAATTAGAACGAAGGATTAACCACGGCGCGCGACGCGGCGCCGAGACAACGACTGCTTTACAACTCCACCGCGGTGGTTATTTACCGGCACTCCCATTTTTTTCCCTCTCGGCGCGTCGCGACGCGGTGCAAACCGCGCGACGATTCGAGGCGAAAACGAGGAAGTCCGCTCTCTCTTGTATTGACGGTGATATAAATTCGCCGGCATGCCTGTAAACCGCGTTTGGGGAAACTGTGCCGGTTAAAACTCCGGGCGGCTGTAAAACGGAATACATCCTCGTTTGCTCGATGTTAGTTCAACCCTTCCGATCAGCGTGCGCGTTTAATTTCTATGAACTTTCGCTGCGAAGAACCGTGTAATACGCACGGGAGGTTTAAAGATTCGAGGTGAAGACAATCGCGCGTCGATCTCTCTCGTTCGAGTAATTTGATCGTTCGCTCGGAACTGTCGCTTTCAGATACCGAGTCGCTCCGAGTCGCTGTTACGAGCTGATTTAAAATACGCAGCTGCTCTATATTCCGAGCGTACTCGAAAGCGAAGGAAACGCGGCGGACGTTAATGGCGTGCTATAACACGGAGAAATGCCGAATTGACGCACCGTGACAAACGGTCTACGCTCGCGTGATTTCCACCTCGCCGTTACCGGAGCCCGGATCCGATCTCTGTTTACCGGAAATTAGAAAGAAGAAAGCGGCCGAAAATACCGCCGCGGAGGAACTGGAGCGTAGACCGCGCCGGAACGCCGGGAAGTTATTTCGAAGTTGCGAAATAACAGCGGCGGCACGATACTTGATCGCGATTTATTCAAGATTCGGGTTAATTCTTGGCTCGGCCCGGTCCGACTCGCTTCCGCCTGGTTCCGGCAGTTTCAGTCGATAGCGAGGCGTGGGATCGGACCCGCTGCTTCCGCCGGATAATTAACAAAACTGTTTTCTTGCAGTGCGAGCTGGCCAGCTGCGCGCCACTCGCACGGCAATTTAAGTGGGACAGGCCGTATTAGCTCGGCGTTGCCCGCATTCTCGCGTCGCTCGTTTGACAAATTAATATATTAGCGGAATGCCCCGAATGGAACCCGGTAGAATAACGAATGTCTAGTGTTGATTTTGGCTCGTTAACCTCCCCGAAACGACGGTTTCTGAATGGAAAACCCGCCTCAAAGAAACCCGAATGACACGTCAAACTTTCAGACACCGGGACAAAAGGGAGCGCGGCAGCTTTTTATTGTTCAAACTTTTTCATCGCCGGCCTCGATTGTACGCCTGTCCGATCTCAAAGGGTCCGTTTATTGTCCGAATAATTACAATTTTTCATTGCACTTTTCATTCGACAAACCGTCATTCTCAAAGCTCAACTATCTCTGCAATCGAAATACTCCACTGAAAATACTCAAGATTCCTCGACAACGTGCAAACAGAACCTTCAAAAAACCTCTCAAGAAATCACTCGTTAACAAACCTCTCTCATTCTAATATCTCCTATATAATCTCTTTACTCCAAACCGACTATTGAATATCTGCACATTTCCCCGCAGCACAGAGTTGCTCCCCGATTACAGAGGGTTAATTCTCCCCAGCCACGAACTCGAAGGGTCGCGCTCGAACAAGCTCTATCGGAACGCTAGAAAGAACGAGCTGGTCGTAATCGCGAAACGCGAGCCACCTCGTTCCGGTTCTTCTCCGAGAAGACGAAAGTCCGTACAGGAATTTCGCGTGCGTGCGGATGGGATTGGCCGAGAGGCCAGCCTGAAATTGAGCCCGGCGGAGATCGGCTGTCGGCGAGGGCGCTCGCGCGCGTGCGACTGTCGTCCCTTGTACGTGTCGCGCATAATGCGACGTGTATTTATACATGCATGTAAATAGATTGCGGTCAGGCGGCTGTGTTCGCGTACTTATACGCGGCTAGGTATTTCGCCGGGACGCGTAATGCCCATAAAACCCACGGTTTAATCAGCCACCCTAGGCACTCGGCCGCCTCCGCGCCCCCGGTTCGCCAGCCCCTTCTCTCGTTTGCGCGCCGCTACGGCTCCGTCGTTCCGTTCCGCGTCTGGCCGTAATCCGAGGAGAACGTTCGGTGCCACGCGTGCCGTTACGCGCGCGGCGCGCGCTCCGAGGCTTGTTCGAGGGAACCGGGAACACGATCGGTAATTATACGGAAGACGGTGCCGCCACTCACCGGGTTCGGGGAGATTGAAATATGTTCGCAGCACGATCCCGGGCAACTCGCGTTTCTACATGTCGGCTCGGCTCGGCTCCCAGAGATGTGTGCGAAACGTATTTTTGTGCGCGGGATTATTAACTCTCCGGGCGCACGATTTTAAAGAGGGGAACTGCACAAGCCGCACAGAATTCAGTGCGCCGCGCAATTTGCCAAGCCGCATCACAAGTCCCGACAACTTACTAATGCGTTTCGAGTTGTAGGAATTGTTGTTTTCATTTATTTAAGCGTTCGCCGATAGTTCGCAGCGTTGCCGGCTGTATGGGGAACTTTAAAATGTTGAACTGCACGACATGAAAAGCATGCACGAGAAGCGAGTAGTTTGTAAGCTTTTAACTCGCGAAGCCCCGAGGAGTTAACAGAGGGCGATACGTTGGAGATCGAGTTTGGGATAAGTTAATTTGTAAAGGGTCGCGCCGCGAGTTATCGGAAACTTCGGTCGCCGGAATGCCGGATTGATGGTCGCTGTCCGTACGTATATCGATATTCCAGCTGCGAGCAACCTATATCTGTCGAGAGTTGTTTAGAATCGTGGCAACGTCAGGCTCATCGGAATCGCCGAGGAATCCGTAATCTACGCGATCGCTGGAATCTCCCCGAGAAACCGGAAATAAAGGAGAAGCAGAGGGACGAGATAAAAGGGCGAAAGGAACGGGAACAGCTCCGCGAGGGATCCCATGTTTTATCGGGCCGGTGTGTTGCTATCGGCCTAGACGCCCTCCGCGAGGATCCAGGAATGGATCGCGCCGGGGGATCTAGCGGGCGCCGGGAAGCGTCTCCCGGAATATATGAGGCACGCCCCGTGAGTGACAGGAAAGTCCTCGAGATGGGCGTAAAAGTTCTCGTAAAAGCGGCGAGTCGCAGCGCGCGAGTCAAGACGGCTTCAGCCGGGAAGCCAGATGGATAGATAGATTTATTGGAGCGGGTAACGTCCCGCGGGGTCGCGGGATGATAATATTTTCGGCGGAGAGACAGCGCCGCGCCGGGCCAATAAGAAACGCGATAAATTCGCCCGGCCGCGATATCGCCGATACAAACGATCGCGATGATGGCGCCGCCGCGATAATTCTTCGATTAATTACCGCGATTCACTCCGGCGCGCGGCCGCGGCCGTATATTCTTCGGGAGCGGCGACGGTTTCTCGTTAAAGTTGCGCCCGGGAGGCTCTTCCGCGCTGGAACAACGGGGAAATATATTCGACGAGACGCGTTTCATGACGCCGCGCGCCCGGCATTCACCTAAATCAGCCGGATAGCTCCTCGCGCTCCCATTCGCCCGCCGCGCCGCCTCCCTCGCCTCGAGCAGCTTTCCAACGCGATTCTTT